AAAATCTAAAAAAAAAAAAAAAAAAAAAAAAACCGCAGCAAAATTATGGAAGCCATGGAAAAGTTAAAGTCTGGAATGAAATTCAATAAAGTGGTCACACAATATAGTGAAGATAAAGCCAGGCAGGGGGGTGACTTGAGTTGGATGATCAGAGGATCCGTGGTGGGATCATTTCAAGCAGCAGCATTTGCCTTGCCAGTCAGTGGGATAGATAGATCTGTGTGTACAGACCCACCAGTTAAGACAAAATTTGGATATCATATTATCATAGTTGAAGGGAGAAAATAAAATTATATGGAAGACTGAAAAAAAAATACCCAAAAGCAGTAATGAATTGTATTACATTAAAAAAAATAAAGTTGAAATAGTATGTTAGAAAATAAACAGGAGGGGACCAGTAGTCAACATAATGACTATGTCGCTGGACTCCCATGTAGTCGACCGCGGTTCGCGTCCCAGACCCAGCGGCTTAAAACTCACGCAGGGCACGTGTGCGTGCATGCCCAAGATCCCAAGAGTAGAACAGAGGAAAAGGGATTGCAGTGTGGCCATCCTCCCTGGGCGGCGTTTTCTTGCTTTCTGTCTCTCTGTCTCTCTCTGTCTGTCTGGCGAGCACGTGTGCCCTATAGCAAAAACCTCTCTAAAAAAAAAGAAAAAAGAAAATAAACAGGAAAACTCAAAGATAAGAGGTTTCACTTCATTACTAATCTCTAGAACACAAAGGTAAGAAATTAATACTTACGAAATGTCGGAGTGAAATACCACTGCTAGAATTGCAAAGGATGAGAGACAAGTTTTTCTTGTGTACCAGGACTTAAGCAGAACCTACTTTAATCATGTTGTTATAAATCCAGACTAGATCTAAGTTTTGAAATTATCAGTCACCTGAAATGCCTGAAGTACAGGTAGAGGGAGTAAAGATGGTATTGCTCAAGGCAACTTCCTATACAGCTGGGTCAGCTATCAGTTGCACCTTCAATCCAGCACAAAATACTGTACAGATTTAATTGCAATGAGAAAGAGGCAGAAGGCAGGAGGGGAGCAGAGCATATTTCAGAAATACCATCACACCAAATCATGAGGCCACTGCCTTATTTCTCAAATCTAAAAAGTTATTTCAAAAACAATTATAATATGTAACTCATGAGTTTCAAAAAAGAAAAAAAAACCTCCCACTAAAAATAAGCCACACTATGAACCTGAAGTTAACCAAGAAACATTTTTAAAAAGTGGCCACAGTAACATGCACAAAATACTGTTGTTTGGAAGGCTGAGGCCACATGGGAGACCTGGGTTCAATTCCTGGCCCAACCTAAAAGGAGAAAAAAAAAAAGCAGAACATGTGCATGTAATACCAGCTGCTCAGGAGGCTAAAACAGAAGGAGCGTAACAAAGAGAGACCCCATCTAAAAAACAAAATCTCACACACACACACACACACACACACACACACACACACAAGCATTCTAAAGGTCAAAAATATGAAAAACAAATGTGCAGCACCAATAATCAAAAAAGTCACAAAAATACATTTTTTTTTGCCTATAAAAGTGGCAAAAAGAGAATAGTTTTAAACCCACTGTTGACAAGAACAAACGGATAAGAATACCTTCACACCTAGACAAAGGGCAAGGACCATTTCCACCTTATGCACCATAAATGAATACCCAACACCAACTTAGTATGTGGTGAATGTTACATACCAAGCACTCAATAAATATTTGAAAACTGAATAAAAATGTCATTTTTAAAGGAAATTCTGGGCTTGCTAGGTGGCAAAGTGGTAATGCACAGCTCAAGTGATGCTGGATCCATAGAGATGATTCTGGGTTTGGTTCCCCATTCAACCTATACACACCAGGCCCACCATCCTGGCTGGCCAGGAAGGCTGGGGGAAGGGATTATGGCATGAGACCCTGTAGAAGGTCTCATGAAGGAAGGAAAAACAAAAGCAAAAAAACAACAACAACAACAAAATTCTAACCATCAGTCTTTTCCTAAAGGAATGCTCAGATTTCAAATTTCCCTTTGAGTAACTCCCAGACTCTGTACTAATAATCATAATTTACTCCTTGAATCTGCTTTGAAAAACTTTCCTCCCAGACTACTCTTGACTTTTGTAATAGCATTCCCTCTCAAAATCAAACCGTTTTTCAGTTAACCTACATTTGCCACCTAAATTAATTTCAAAATTTGGGAATTTTTTTTTTTTTTTTAGGGCAAACTAGGGGCTTCGGACTAAAAAGGACTCAGTCAGGTCCCAATTCTACCCCTTACTTGCAAAGGGATCTTGAGCCAGTAATGGGTTCTAATTCTTTTTTCCCCCCACCCTTAAGACATTTTTTTTCACCTTTAAGACAATTTTTTTCTTTTTATTTATTTATTTAAATTTACATTTTATCACATCTTCTAAGTATACTTTTCATTATTTAATTTTTTAATTATTTGTACATTAAATCGCTATACATCCTTTAGATTGTGAAGACACTTTACCCAGCATGATTTACACCTCAGTCCAGCCCGGCTGAGACTATTATACACATCTTCGTCAACAGATAATAAACCTTATCTGTGTCTCACAAGTGTCTTACCTCTCCATTTTCCCCCCAAAGTTCCCTTCCTACGCCCTCCCACACTCTCTTTCCACTTTGTCTCTAGTGTCCATCACAATTTTTAATACTTTTATGTTCTCCAGTCTTTCAGTCTCCACCATAAAGTGCAGACAGTCAGTATATTTTAAGTGGAGACATACAATGTCTCTCATAGCCTGACTTGCTTCATTCAGCAACAAGTCTTCCATATTTGCCCACTTTCTATCAAATTCCAGGGCCTTCTTATTTTTTATGGCTGAATAGTATCCCATGGAATATATGTGCCACAATTTTTCTTTTTCGACTGAGTGCTCTCCTGTCCTTTGGGTAGATACCCAGGAGTTGAACTGCTGGATCATATGGTAGTTCTATGTGAAGGTCTTTGAGGAACCTCTGTATAGTTCTCCACAGTGGATGGGCCAATTTACATTTCTACCAACAGCATAGGAGTGTTCCCCTTTCACCATATCCCCTCCAGCACTTATCATTGTTTTTTTAATCTTCGCCAGTTTGACTGGGTTAGGTGGTATCTTATTGTGATTTTGATCTGCATCTCCCTTACAATGAGGGATGTTGAGCATTTTTTCATATGCTTTTTGGCTGTTCATATGTCTTTGTTAGAGAATTGTTTATTCACCTCATTTTTCCATCTTTTAATTGGGTTAATCATTTTCTTGCAGGTAAGCTGCTTGAGTTCCCAGTGTGTTCTAGTTGTCAGTCCCTTATCTGAGGCACGGTTAAAGAAAATTCTCCCCCATTAATTCTACTCCTTCATTGAAAAGGGATCTTGAGCACAGTAATTCTCACCTCTGAGTTCTAGCTTCCCTTCATCCCATAGCTTCCCTTCATCCCACAGATGTGCTGCCCACACTGTTCTGACCCCAACATCCTGCACTGCCCCCAGCCACTACACTTCAGCACCCACATCTCCCTGTTGCTGAACATGCCAAGTTCTGACCTTCTGACCTGAGCACCATCTGGCGCTTCTGCCTCTTATGTTCCTCCCCCAACCATATGGTTGGCTCTTTCTGTTCAGATCTCAGGTAAATGTCCTCTCTTCAGATATACTTTCCCTTACCACCCAATCAGCCATCCTATTTTAATTCTACCACTAGCGGTTATTTTTGGAGAGGTTTTTGCTATAAGGCATGTGCACTCACCAGAGAGACAGAAAGTGAGAAATCACCCCCCCCAGGGGATTGTCACACCGCAATCCCTTCTCCTCCATTCTCTCTCGGGATCTTGGGCACTCACGCACACGCGCCCAGCATGAGTTTAAGCCACCGGGTCCGGGACTCGAATCGCGGTCAACTACATGGGAGTCCAGCGACCTGGCCATTACGCTGACTGCTAGTCCCCTCCTGTTTATTTTCTAACATACTAGCAGTTATTACTCTTCCACTGCATTTTATTTATTTCTACCTCTTTGCGCTCAATATACCTTAAAAAAGCGAGTTATTTTTCTGTCCTATGTCACTTACACCTAGAACTGAGCCTGAAACACAGCAGGCACATGTAATGTACCTAAACATAGTGTCTTGTCTACGTAGAAGCCACCAATTAAAAGTTAGCTCCTCTTTTTACTATTCCCAAATAATATGTTAAGGTCTGTGCAGCATTCCTGAGCTTAAATGACCACCTGCACTCCTCCCATTACCCTTTGAGACTAAGCACCTCTTTCAAGCTCCAGATCTTTATAAGCCACCAGCCTATTCAACTCTTCACTTGAATGTCATAAAGAATGAAACCTCAAACTCAAATGGAGCCATGCTTCTCAGTGACCAGGGGGTTACAATTATTAAAAAGAGGATGAACTCTGCAGTGCTGGATGAAATGAGAAGTGACAGAATGAATGTATGATGTTTAAGACATATCTAGGGGCCAGCAGGTGGCATGGTGGTTAAAGCACTAGACTCCCACATGGCCAACCATGGTTTGAGTCCTGGACCTGGTGGGAATGTGTACACACAATCGTGGTGTATGCATGCCCAAAATCCCAGGAGGAGAATGAAGAAGGGATTGTGGTGTGGCTGTCCCTGAGGGATGGTTTCTCACTTTACGTCTCTCTGTTTCTCTGTCTCTGTTTGGCAAGCACATACATCCTATGACCACTCCCCCCAAAAAAAGCATCTGTATCTAGACGGAGAAATAGATGTGGCTATGTCATATACGTGTTGGTGTGTGTGTGTGTGTGTGTGTTTGCTAGCTCTATCTGCTAAATAACACTGTTAGCAATAAGCCTAGCATCAACATCTTGGTTTCTTTTTTTTTTTTAAAGAATTATTTAAGTTTATTCATTATTATTATTATTGTTTTTTTAATTTGACCAGACACACACAGAGAGGGGGAAATGAGGAGGCAAGGTCCACCAGGACTTGAACCATAGTCAGCCATGTGGGAGTCCAGCACCTTAACCACCATGCCACCTGCCAGCCCCCTCAACATCTTGGTTTCTAATAGCCTTTTCACTAAAACAAACAGGGACCAGCCTGCTTCTGTAGTGCAGCCGACCACAGTTCAAATCCCAGCCTCAAAAGATTGAAAAGCACATTGGCATGTGTGTGTGTGTATCCAAAATCCTGAAGGAATGGAGGAAAAAGGATCGTGGTATGAGCACGATCCATTGAGAGGTGCTCTCCCCCTAAACTCCCATAAGCATATGTGTCCTCTGGCAATTAAAAATAAATTAACAAATGA